CTTGGATGTTAATGAAATGATAGCCAGCTTTTGCATTCCCAGCATTGCAACGATTCCAGAAGTGAGCCGCCAGAGTTTGAATTCAGTATTTATATTTCTAAATGAAGGATTAAGTGGTTTTATAGAAGGATTTAATCTGCAGATGTAGATATAGCGTGATTTATGTCCTAATCAGAGTTATTTGGAGGGGGAGGGCCCCAATCATTTCAACAGAATTTATTTCCAATGAAGTATATTTAGGATTGAAGTTGGGATTGTGTACTTAAAGGACCCGATCCATCAGGAAGTTTGCCTGTGCAACCCTCCCCCCCCCATTGAAATGAATGGGAGCTGTCTTAAGAGCACTGCTTTGCTCTTGCACGGTGCCTGCTCATTTCAAAGGATCTGTATGTGTGTGTACCTTTCACATTTTGCATTGTGTCACACTGAAATCTGAACACAACATGACAGGAACAAGTCTTTGGGGTCATGCTTTGAGGAGGAAATTGTCTATTATATGCTGCCCTGACTTATGCCAGCCTGTCACATTAGAATCTCATTCTCCATTCCCCCCAAATGAAGAAGTCACATATCCTCTTGAATGCAAAATACACACACACACACAAAAAAAAAGATTATCAAGCAACACATTGATACTGACAAGTCCTATCCAACCCACGAAAGGATTTCTCTGCAGAATGAATGTCTTTTTTTGACAAGTATATTGGGAGGGCTTCTTAGAGGGAGAATTTCTTCAAGAGTGGTTTTTTCCCCTTCAAAGTGCTGAAGCAGCAGCAGCACCAGGAAGAACTTGTACTTCTACACAACTTTAAAAAGTAGTGGAGCCTCCTGAGAATCCGGAGGCTGTTGACCCCCTATGCTGGGGAGGGCCTGTTCCCTGACTTGCAGGCCTTTTTCACCTGGCTTGGGAGGGCAGGGCCCTGACTGACTCCAGCTACAAAAGGTGAGGCTGCTGAACAGACTCTCAGGCTGGGGTTTATGGAATTTTGTTGTGGGTTTTCTTTTTTGCTGTTGTTGCCGTTGGGGGTTTTTTTTTTTGTACCTTTATTTTAGAGCTTGCTGTGATTTATGTGGAAATTGTACTGTTCCATTGTGTGTTTTTTAAAAATGTTTTATTTATTGTTTACGACTACTTTTATGCTTTAGTTATGGGTTTTTTTTTTCATGCTGTAAGCAGCCTTGAACTGTGGAAAGGCGGAATACAGATAAAATTATGTCTCTGTGTGTGTTTTGCTTTTCACACTGGCAGTTAGTACTGAATGTTGATTTTCATGGCTTTTTGAACATTAGAGGGCACCAAAGAACCACAAATAGTCACTTAGAGCCAGGGGCTACTGTTAGCTAAGTACATTTCTCTTGAAATCTCTGCACAAAGATTGAAGCATAAAATCATAGAATTGTAGAGTTGGAAGGGGATCACAAGGATGGAAAATCTCAACCCAGCAGGGAAAAGATGTCACTTATGGCATCAGGTGTGTCTCATTTAGGAGACCGTTGGGGGGGGGGCACAAAGGTGATTTGCAATGCCTTATGCACACATACCTGAGAGATTTAAGCTTGTTGGTGTCTCTGGTATGTCTCTCTCTTTCATTAAGGGTATTTCCTTGTGTTGTGGATGTTTATTCTGTATTGTTTTGTTGATACTGGTGCTGCAGTTTTGTCATGGCATTTAGAACAATAAACTTAGGAAGCAGAACATATATACCTGAGAGTTTCATTGAACTCAGTGGTGCTTACTTATGAGTATACGTAAGATGGTGCTTCTAATTATTCATTCATAGATTCAGTCTTGGTGTATGTTAGCTCTAGATATGGCTAATTCTGGAACTCAGAAAATTCTGCATGCAAATCATTTGAAATTTAACATGAGCGAGGTTTTTTTCTTCAGCAAGATTAAAAGGAGGAAAGTGTGTCACAGAATGACCAGAGGAGACCAGAAGGAGATCTCTCTCTCTCTCTCTCTCTCTCTCTCTCTCTCTTGTATGGAAAGAAGGGATTTCAAAAGCAACATATAATTTTTCAACACTTTAAAGTATTGTGACATGAGAAACTTTGCCTACCTCTCATTTTTCCAGTCTTAAGCTCAGTCCTCCAATTTTCCACACCAGTTTGTGATTTTTTTTTATTTACACAGTCCTCATGAGACTCCATCAGCATTTTAATATGAATTTCTTATAATATGCCAAATTTTCTATGCAATTTTGCCTAATATACACATTTTTGGAAAGCAATTTCCCTGAATAGAATGCATCTTTGTACATTATTTTTGCTTATAGGTACATTTTTATGCACAATTTGTTCTGGTGTCTGCATTTTTGTAAACATTACTTGGCTGACGAGCTGCCTTTCAAAACTCCACTACATGAATCTGGAGGGAGGACTATGTTTGGATATGTGTAATGTTGCAGACAGTGTGACTGAAGTGGGTTAATCTTTAAATGAGAAGTGAATCAAATTTCTTCCCCATCCCAACCTACCACCAACCCCGTTTTTTATATATCTAATAAAGCTACACCAAATTGTCTTCTGTTGCAATTAGTCATATAACAAAATATACACTGGCTACTTAAACCATGTACTCATAGCAAAATAATAATAATAATAATAATAATAATAATAATAATAATGACACACCAAAAAACCAATTATTCCACATTTAAACTGGTACAATATATGTGTATTTGCATTAGTGAAGTAATAATGCCCCCTAAATCCCACACACACATTTCAAGGGGACACTTTGGGGGATATTTCTGAGATTGGAGGGATGGTGAAAATATTCACCGATTTTGGAAAATGGAAATATTATGAGGTACAACAGTGCTTTGTGATGTAGTAGCAAATCTTGAAGTGCAGGAGCTCATCGTGACAGCCCTCATGAGTCCAACAAATGCATGCAGCTGTGTTGATCTATTGACACACACACACAAAGAGTGCTGGTATGTAGGATAAAACCCTATTTATTAAGATTATCAGTGGACAGTGATAGACTTGTAAGCTGGTAAAAGGGGGCATAATGTTGGAATTTGGCTAGGGAAACATGGGGTCGTATCCCAGATCAGTCGACCATGTGGACTGCACTCCTATGCATCGTCGCCTGGGACTGGCAGTACAGTGGTACCTCGGGTTACAGACGCTTCAGGTTACAGACTCCGCTAACCCAGAAATAGTACCTCGGGTTAAGAACTTTGCTTCAGGATGAGAACAGAAATCACGCAGCAGCGGCACGGCGGCAGCGGGAGGCCCCATTAGCTAAAGTGGTGCTTCAGGTTAAGAACAGTTTCAGGTTAAGAATGGACCTCCGGAATGAATTAAGTTCTTAACCCGAGGTACCACTGTAAGCTCAACAGTGCATAGGTTCAAGACCACATTAGAGCTTCCACCAAAAAATATTCAGCTTCCCGAAAGGCATCCTTTAAGCTTTTGATTAGAAATGCAAAGAATCTCGCAAGGAGGCATTATAATTTAAACTGATAGCACGAAATAGGACAGAAGCATTGAGCCTTTGTTTATTTTCCTCCTTCTGTGACTTCCTCCATGCTAATCTGCCACAAACAAGAGTAACTCTTGAAAGCCTCATTATCACCTCACTCGCCGCAGCAAGGAGAATCCATCAGTTACCCCAGTTCTCCAGCAGATGACACCCTCAAGCCTGCTCTGAAAAACAACCCAGAGCTGTACTCCTTTCCTCCTCATTCAACTCATGTTCCATAATAAGACAGGCAGGGGTAGCAGACTCTTTCTCCTCCTTTCCCTAAACACTTTGCTTGCGGGAGTGGAACTCCTTTCCACAGGCCTTTCTGATGGCTGGTATTCCCCCCAACCACAAAATTAGGCCACATCTTACATAGTATAATTCTGGGAGCATTGTACAGAGCAGAGGGGCGGCTGCCAGCAAGGGCTGTCTCTGCAATCCACAATGCCTTTGAAATAACATGGCATGTAGTGATTTGGTGTTGTTCCAAGGGAGCGTTGTAAGTTGTGGGAGAATGGAAACAAGGAGGAGTTCCACTGCCACTGCCAAAAGTATGGTTATGGAAAGACGGGGTAGGGGTGGGGCAGAGGGTTCTGTCCCCTCTGTTTTTATTCCAAGTCAGTCTCCACCCCAGAACGTTTGATAATTTAAAGGTAAAGGTACCCCGACAGTTAAGTCCAGTCATGGACGACTCTGGGGTTGCACGCTCATCTTGCTCTATAGGCCGAGGGAGCTGGCATTTGTCCTCAGACAATTTTTCTGGGTCCTGTGGCCAGTATGACTAAGCCGCTTCTGGCGAAACCAGAGCAACACACGGAAATGCCATTTACCTTCCCAATGGAGCAGTACCTACGGTATTTATCTACTTGCACTTTGACGTGCTTTCAAACTGCTAGATGGGCAGCAGCAGGGACCAAACAATGGGAGCTCACCCCATCACAGGGATTCAAACCGCCAACCTTCTGATTGGCAAGCCCTAGGCTCTGTGGTTTAGACCACAGCACCACCCGTATCCCTCCTTTTGATAATTTAGCTTCCCCGAAATAACTCTGAATTTCACCCCCACTCCAATCTGAAAATTAAATTCTCACTTAAGAACTTCTGGCTCTACTTGGAGATAATGTCAAATGCAGAAAACACATTATTATTATTATTATTATTATTATTATTATATTTCACCCTGTGTGCAAATAGAGACAGCCTCAAGAAGCAGACACAATATTGATCACCTAAATGTGGCTTTCACAGAATGCAAAGACATTTTAAAGGGGAAAATATATATACTGTATAACCTAAAGGTGCTATTTATACTGGACCCCACTTTTACTGGGCAACTAGCTTTCCTAAGGAGGGTAGAAAAAATATCTCCAAGAGTACAGGCCATATTGAGGCTGTACTTGGGGGCCAGTATTTGGGGCCAGTCGCTGGGCTACCTCTCCAATTCTCTTGACAGAATCACAGATTTGTAGCGTTGGAAGGGACCACAAGAGTCATCTAGTCCAACCCTCTGCAATGCACGAATCTTTCACCCAACATGGGGCTCAAACCCACAACCCTGAGATTAAGGGCCTCATGTTAAGGGCCTGAGATTAAGGGTCTCATGTTCTACCGACTGAGCTTTAAAACGCAGACCTGTGCCTAGAAAAGCAGAGCAAAGGTAAGTGTGGACGAGCCCTCAGTCTGAGTTTTCCACTTATTGGAGCAACATTCAAGCCTGCCCTGTCTGGAGTCCAGTTGGAGCTCTCCAGGGTGCTGCCCACCTTCCTTGTCTGCCTTTTATTTTTACTTAGCCTGACCCTGCTTACCCTATGCTTCTGAAAATGCAGACATGGGACCATGTGGCCAGGGGCTTGCTGTGTACAATAAAAATGTTCTGAAAACTATGGGCAAGCACACACTTAAGATTTGCAGCCCTCCGAACAATAGGTGTTATAGCTTCTAATTTATAATTGTGGAAGGGGAGACCAATAGATCACTTCTGGAGCAAAGCATTTCAAGCCATACAACTGATTTGTGTGCAGTAAGAAGATATATTGAATGCAGCACAGAGCAGTGAGCCAGAACTTGCTACCTGAATGAAGGAAAAGATGCTGAAAATTTTCAGGGTTTGTTTGTTTGTTTTTTAAGGAGAACTGGCAAGGAAAAGGAAATTTGGGATAGAGTGTGGGACCAATGAAGACTCCCAAAAGTAGGAGGCCTGTAGGACTGACAGAACCACTAAAGCAGGAACCATCTTGCCTATAAGCCAAAGGCATAACTGTTAACCAGAGGGTTGGTGCAACATTGTCTTGTAAGTACCATCTTTGTACTCGGAGATAAATAGGGCTATTTTATCCAGCCCACAGCTTTATGGGCTTTTCAGTGGAGGTGGTTCAAAGTTGTTTTAAGTAGCTTTGAAAGTGGGGGGAGGTTTAAAAGTTCACCCGACAGCTCCCAGGGTCTTTTACTGATAAAAGTTGGCAGATATTTTCATAGTTTGAGCCTTTTTATCAGGGTAATTTGATCATTAGAGCTCCTACTCACGCAGCAGAGACTCAGTTGAGACTTGACCCGGCGCCATCTTCCCCAGAAGTCCTCCAGAGGGTTGGTGGTTGAGGCCACCCAGGGACAGCTGTGGAAAGGATTCTTGCACTGAAGGGGGATTGACTAGATGACCCTTGGGGTCCCTTACAACTACAATTCTTTTTTTCCTCTTTTTTATTAAAGATTTTCTTGATTTACAAAAGTGTGTGCAATGTCTCTCTTTCGTATCCCCCCCCCAATGTAACATTTTTACAAATCAGTTTCATTTTACAACTACAATTCTATGATTCTGTGGATCAGCAGCCTGCTTAGCATAAGGCTAGGGATGAGAGGAATGGACTGGTTTCCATTTGGGAATTGTTTGGCTTCTAGAGGGTTATCAAAAACAACTACATACTTGTGACACGAGACTCTGCTGTGATTGTTCTGGGATTCCAACACCACCAAGTTGTGCATTGCATTGACCTGAAGCCGATGAACACAGAACTAGCATACAGCAATTGTCTACTACTAACCATCCATTAAGTAGTATGGGATATATCCCAAGCCAAGGGCATCTTGGGGTTTTATGTAAAGAATGCATTCTGGCTTATAGAAATGGCCACAGGGTCAAGCTTATTTTACCACTTTGGCAACTTGGGAAGCCCTTCTGTGGAAATCCAGCTGCTCCCTCATTATTCTCTCTCAGATAATCCTTTGTAAATGTTTTCATTTTAAAAGGCCTTGACTGTGTAATTTCTGCTGCTGTTTAAAAAACAGCTGGCTTGATTGCCATTTCAGATTGCATTGTTTTCTTAACCTATATTGTTCATAATATGTGGCTTTGTGATTGTTGCATTGCATTTTCATTGATGAAAGCCGCATAGGCACCGGCCTTGCTCCAGATGTGTTCCAGCAGCACATACTGAATCAAGAGATCTAGGTCAGCCTTAGCCAATCTGGTGCCCTCCAGATGTTTTGGATTACAACTCCCAGCAACACCTACCCCTAGTGTAAGTGTAAATTAAGAGGAAAAAGCAGGGGTGGGGATCCTTTGAGCCTCCAGTTGTTGCTGGAACATAACGGCCATCATCCCTGGCTATTGGCCATTCTGGCTGAAGCTGATGGGAGTTAGAGAATCAGACAGGAATAATTCAGTGACACAGGTGGAAGGCATAAACTGAGGGAATCACAATCACAGAGTGACTCGGCAGAACAGCAAAGGGAGAGAGCAAGGTAGAGTTGAGTTCAGCAGGTTTGATTAGGAAGAAAGAGGGTTTTGGTTTTTTTAGATAATGCTTGACACTGTGTTGGCAGCAAGCACTTGTAATAGTGACTGGTCTTCTCTCCATAGTGAACTAGATTAGGTAGAATATTATACTACTAATTTAAGATCTCATTGCAGCAAAAACTGGAGATTCCTCGTACTATTCTTTAGCAAATAGCCCTAACAATTCTAGTAACTATTAAACAAGTATGTGGATGTTGATCATCAGGTTTATTTGTGTATTTAGATGTGTAAAAACCTTTTGACAAAGTCCTTTACCAAAGGTTCCTGAGCAACCTTAGCATTCATGATAAGAGGATTGTTCGTCTTATGGCTTAGTAAGAAGGCAGAGAGTAGGAGGTAATGGAAAAGCCTTGCAGTGGTGGGAAGTAAAAGTAGAGTCCCTCAAGTATCTGTATTTGGGGCAATGCTGTTTATTTGCTTATCAGTGATCTGATCAGTGATCAGTGGCCAGGTGTTGGAATGACACCAAATTATTAAGGATGGTGAAAAGCCCATTACACTGCAAACAGCTATAAAGGGTTCTCTCTAATCCAGATGAATGGACAAACAAGGTTCAACATAAGGGTAAAGTGATGCACATATCTTTAAATATACACCAAAAGGGTCTAAACTGATGGTGACTAACCAGGAATATGATCTTAGGATCATGGTGAATAATTCAAATAAAACTTAAATTAGCATGCAACAGCTGTGAAAAAAGGCAGATTATATGCTAGGGATCATGATGAAAGGGACTGAATATGCCCCTATACACTCATGCAACAAAGTTCTTACTTTTTCTTTTTTTAAAAAAAAATAATAGAATTTGTGCACCATTTTTCTAGTTACTGAAAAGCAATTAATGATTCAATAACAAAAACAAACAAACAAACAAAAAACCCCGGCTCTCCCTGCCCCATCTCAAAACAGCTACCACAGTGCTGGAAATACTACAACCCGATAAAATACTACAACTTGATAAAACTGACCGGCAGCAGATTCCAGACAGAGGAAAGCAAGAACGTTGTCACACTGCACGTAATTAATGGCTGGAGTTTCCTGGCACCAGATGTGGTGACAGCCATGTGCTTCGATGGCTTTAAAAGGAGATCAGCTAAAGTGCATGGGGTGAGCTGACTAGTGCAATTGTCTCCTTTGGTTGGAGCGGTGGTTGGAGCCATTGCGAAAGGCTGCGTGGTCACACTTTCCTGCCTTATTTGCCCCCAACTACTTCCTTCCTTGCCCCCCTCTCCACACTCCTGCTGAAGTAAAATGGTTTTTCACTTCAGCCCAGTTCTCTCGTTTTGTTTTTAAATTGAACTGTTACCACAAGCATTGGTACTAGTGTGCATATGTGATGTTGAGAGCAGAAACAATAGTGCCAGCAAGGAGAAACGACTGGATGTATGTATGGGAGAAGGAGGCCTGCTGGTCTGTCTGATCACACACACATTAATCCCAGGAGTGCGGCATTACAAGCTTCTTAAGTGCAGTCTTAACCACTCAGCTCAAGGCCATCCTGCCACCAGCATCTCCTCCCTGCCTCCCTGCCTTCCCTCCCTTGACTGCTTGCTGGCTTTCAGCCTCCAGACACGACAAGCCAGCACCAGCACGTTCAAGAGTACAGTGCCTGCCTCACACCCAAAGTGTGGGTGATGCTAGCGTAGAATATCAATTGTCCCACTGTTCCATATATATTGTGTAGCCAATATCTTGTGCCCATTTGACCATAACTTCTTTTAGTTCCTCATCTTTTAGATCGCATTTCAATAAAAGGTCATAAGTTTAGAATATTAATATCTTAATATTTTTAATAATACTTTTCGTAATTTAGATTCTTCTCTCCAAAACCCTGTTTTTTTGTCTGAATTAAATACATTATTTAATTGATGCTATTGAAGCCAGTCAGTGAGGTAATGTCTTATCTCCTCAAATGTTTTGAGCTTCAGTTGTTCCTGATCTTCTTTTAATAATTGACTATAATTTGCCCAATTACTTTCCGTATTTAATTTTTTTACTGCAAATGCCTCTAGTGGGGACAGCCACCATGGCGTTTTTGGTTCTAATAATTGTTGATATCTGGTCCACACCTTGCATAGAGCATTCCTTAATATATGGTTAGTAAATTCTCTGTGAACTTTCATCTTGTTGTAGCCAAGGTATGCCACCCATACCTGTTATTAACACTCTCCAGATCTAATGTATCTGTGTTCTCTAATGTGTTATAATTGATCATTTTGATCAATTATAAGATTACCATCTTTTTACCTGTTTTAGAATGCCTTTTTTTCTCAAAAAAAATGCAGATGTGTTTGTCACCTTGGGCAACTTTAGGTGAAAGGGCAGAATATAACACAATAAAACTTATTGCAGAAAGCTACATTTTCCAGAGTGACTTAACAATCAACGCCTTTTCACAGGGAACTCCGAGAATCATTTCTGTGAGGGGAATCGGGGCCTCCTAACCACTGTCAGCACCCTTAATAAACTACAACTCCCAGAATCCTTTTGGGGAAGTCATGACAATTTGAAGTGGTATCATAGTGTTTTAATATTTGCTGTGAATTTGGCCTCAGTCTGGTTTCTTGTGCTTAACCCTGGTTTGTCTTTGCATGCCTGTCTTGCCCTACCATTGTCTGGCAATAATGTGTGTGAGGTCTTGTACACTGTAGGCTTGTATCCTAACCATGGTCTACACCTCCCAGACTAGGACAGCTACCCCTGTGCTAAGAAGACTGAAACTTTTCCACTGAGCTCAGTTGGGAAACTAAGTACAAGGCTTCAGATGCTTCTGCCACATGAATATTTCCATGTTTGCCATGGAGTAACATCAAGCTAGCAACAGAAGAGTCAATAACACATATTTTCATTTTGCCACCACTATTGAGTCTTCAGAGAGAACCTGAAACATCAGTATTCTTGGAAATCAATATTAAGCCTAACACTACTGTCAAATTTATGTGAGGTTAATGGCTTAATGCTAACTCATTAACATTAGCCTCGTTTCATTCCCTATCAGAAAACCAATTGTGGCAAAATCCTGTCGCTTGGTTCTATGAATGACTGTGTTGGGAAGTGAATATTTACAGTACTGCACAACAATGGCTGAGCCCACACAATGGTCAGGTTCAAGCAACAACTCAAGGATTATGAAGCCAGGAACAAGCATTGGGACTAAACACTCCCCCTCCTTGCATTTTGTATGAGCTTTGGCAATGAAGATTCTTTCTTGGGTTCAGTCAGTGTTTCCCCAGTACATTCAAAACAGGGAATTCTGGCTTAATACTAGTTAAAGAATCAGAAAAATTAGCCAGGAATGATGACCCAAACCTGTCAGGAGCCACTGTGCTGATGCCATGTGTGGTTCAGGACACCACAGTCAAAAAGCATTAGGATGGCTAACTCATAACCACCAAAGTTCAGGAAAATTATCTTGCAACTCAGGACATAGTTATGGCAACAGGCAATGACGGGCGGATTGTGATGTACAAGAAAACAGGCCTCAGATTAGTTTGCCCTGAGTGCTCACTGGAAGGACAGATCCTGAAGCTGAGGCTCCAATACTTTGACCACCTCATGAGAAGAGAAGACTCCCTGGAAAAGACCCTGGTGTTGGGAAAGATGGAGGGCACAAGGAGAAGGGGACAACAGAGGACGAGATGGTTGGACAGTGTTCTCGAAGCTACTAACCTGAGTTTGACCAAACTGCGGGAGGCAGTGGAAGACAGGAGTACCTGGCGTGCTCTGGTCCACGGGGTCACGAAGAGTTGGACACGACTAAACAACTAAACAACAACAATGAGAGGCACTTTGTTACACACATTGCTTTTTTCAATAGAAAACAAGGTGCCGGTACTCACCATGAAGTTTTTACAGTAGGTGCCACACTTTGAAAATTTGGGGGGAGGAAGGTTCCCTTGAGTACCCCTGTGGGGGAGGGGGACACTGGTTATAGAGCTGGATAAGTGAAGGTGGCAGAGGCGGTGGCTGGGTTCCATTACACAGAATTGGTCTTCAATGTCATTACTTTTCGCAAATGAATGGAAAGCAGGCCAGTGATAGCTCCTTCCTCAGCTGACCTGTATGGATTAGCTGAGGGCTGTGTATGCATGCACATGAGATTAAGTGTGTGAGAGCATGGGGAGACAATACCTAATGCTGCTATGCAGCCCCTGGAGAGTTGACCAAGGATGAATATGGCCCTCAGGCCAAGAAAAGGTTAGCTACCCCTGGGGTAAGTGGTTGGGACAGAGAGACAATCATCATAATCAAGAAACGTATACTTTCTAAGTACAATATATGTTTCTGCATTCAAACACTGGGCATTCATGTTGCCTTTTCTAGATAGTAACAATCGCAACAGTAAAAGCCAATTCAAAGTTTTGTTTGTTCAGGAGAGAACATTAAATAATTGCATCACTAGCCTGACGTGGGCAACCCTAAGATGCAGCCAAGCAGCACCAAAAGAAGAGGCTGTGTGGCACAAACCATGGGGATGACAGAATGTGTGGGGACAAGATGGGGACCACTCACCTAGGTGCCTTCCGCTTAAGCCATCTGCAGAGCCAAATATCTCAGCACAAGCTCTAGGCCAAACATTCAAACAAGCTGTTTCACTTGGAGTGCAGCTGACATGCAGCGCAGTTGACTTCATGGGCTCCACTCGCCTTGCCCAGGGTGTTATCTGCTCCCGGATACATGGACACACATCTATAGGATAGGCAGGCTCACAGTGGACCAACACAAACTTTAAAGTGAACAAAGCTTAGTCTGTGGGGCTTATACTTTATTGGTTAATCATTACCAAGGCTTGAAAAGAAACTGAATTCTGCCTTCTTTTGGCAGGGTACCAATCGCTAAAAGGATAACTGTGTATACCATGATCATTTACTCTCTGAAGCGGGATTGGCTTTGGTCCCATCATCTCTTTTGTGGACTAGATCTGATAGGTTGTTAAATCAAAGGAATTAATATTTCATCACCTGTTTTCGCTTGAAGGTCTGATTGGATGACTGACCTTTTCTTCTTTCTGCCCCATCAAAAACCCTTCCAACAGGGGTTTACGTCTTGCCTAATGAGGTGTATTGTCAGTGTCACTGAACCATGATAGCCTTTTTATGAACTGTTCACTGAACAGCATCTTTCTGGACTGCAGGCCATCTTGCAAATCGCCATATGGTCCTCTTGGAAGTTTCATTTCAATGATAAAACCCCCAGGAACCGGGGCTGTAATGACATTCCCCCACCCGCCAATGCTACTTCACGTCCTCCTGATTTAAGAGGCCAACACTACTCCCCTGGATTGCACCACCTTCAGTGATCTCAAGTAATTTTACTTTTGACTATCGTATCAAATCCATTCTGCTACTTCTTGAAAGATATTTGTGATATTTTTTAATCCTGAGTAGATTGGAGGTGTTGTTCCTCCCCTGCTATTGCCTCGAAGAGGAAAAGTTTCGTCCACTCACAACTCAAGGAAATGAATTAGAATGGGAGTCTTTCTTTAAAAGACTTTAATACCTCTTGCATGTCCCTCCCAAACTGCTCTTTAGTGCTCAATCAGAGCAAATGGCAATTTGGATTTTCTCTAAACCGTAGCTTGCTCCAATTTAAAACTAAAAAGCGGGTTTTCCCTGGGAAAGGAGCAGGGCAAGAGGAAAACCACTTGGACTCATGCGTTTTAAACGCGGGACAAGCAGAAGTGTAGACAAGCCCTGAAATGCAGGATGTTCAAGCACAAAGCACCAAAACACCTTAAATACTAGCAACGTAAGAAGAATCTGCTGGATCAGGCCAGTGGCCCATCTAGTCCAGCATCCTCTTCTCACAGTAGTCAACTTGATGAAGAATGGTAGAGGGAATATAAACTAAGCCTTGCTCCTGTGATAAAGAACAGATATGGAGAACTGTGGGGTCCAGTATTTTTTAAATCCAGGTGTTTTTTTTGCCAACCTGGTGCTCTCTAGATGTTTTGGACTACAACCCTCATTAGCCCCAGCTAGCATGGCTCTCCTGGTTTGGGCTGAAGGAAACCATAGTCTAAATCAGCTGGAAGGTTGATGAAAGCTGCCAAGATAATAAAAAAAAACCCAAACAATTGAGAATAGGGTACTCTTTTGCTTGCTCACTCTTTTTCTTTTGTTGGGGTGGAGCATCAAAGGGAGGGGGGAAATCCTCACTCTGGTAAAGCTGGAAGCCCTGTACCAAACTCCCATCAGGATGCCTCAGACACTTGGTTGCAGATGTAGAGTTCGGCAACTCAACTCCCCCTCCAGTAACCACAGATGGCAACATTTGCAATGACCTGCAAAGATGTATTACGCACAAGTCAGTTAATCTTTGGCAATTCAGTGTAGTTAAGACAGCAAGCTTAGATTAAGTGGTTTTCTTTTAATGAAAAAAAGACAGAATGCTTTCATTTTCCTACATGTCCCAGTCCGGGTGCAGTTTCAAAACCTATCAAGCAATTGACTCTCTTGTTACTAAGAATGCTAAACATATTAGGATTAATCCGTTCCCTTCGCTGCCTTTTGCAGTCGTCAACTCCTTGAAAGTCGGTTAACGTTTGGAGCCCCACTGTACATATAACCTTTGTTTTCTACACAAAGCCGTTTGAATTTTTTACTCTCAGATGCTGAGCAGAAAAGTTGTTCAATCTTGCAAACACAAACAGAATCCTAAAACCCTACGAATCCTCCAGTAATTCTGTGCTTCCACTAGTTCTCGTGTTAAAAAAATAGCGCAATGACAACAACAAAACAAAAAAGTACTCGCAGAGAAGCAGCCGTCGCCGACTGCAAACAAAGGGAGCAGAGCCGTGGGCTGGGTGTCATGTTACTCAACCATCTCTTTAAATCGCATGATACTCGCCACCGCCTTCTCTCCTCTCCCTCTCTAACTCCCCCCCCCCTCAATTTTCTAAACACAACCGTGACGGACAAGCCACGCTATCCAATGGCAAGGACAAGGACAGTTTTGGCGCCTTGCCACACTTCGCCTTTCACCCAATAAGGAGCCGGGGGAGGCGGTCCGACGCCCTGGGTAGAATGGAGCGTCTACCAATGGCAAGAGTGTTATTGCAGAGAAATAGTATTATGTTAATCGATGTTTTGCTCGAACTCACTCGGTGAGAGCTTTAAAAAGCGAGGCAGCCCCAGGCAGGCTTGCTAGAAGCGGAGCGAGGCGCGGAAGGTGGGCAGGTTAAGGCGGAGGGGATCGGGGCGCGCGCAGGTTATTCCGGGCCCCCAGCGAAGGGAGGCGGCGAAAGCCCAGCCCTGCTCTCCGGGGTTGTGATTTGGATTTGCCAAGGCGATCGGACGCGCTGCCTCGTCGGGCGGAGAAGGAAGGAACCTGCCCGCTCCCTCTTACTACTACTACTACTACTACTACTAGGCGCCGCCACCATCATGTCCAACGTGCACCTCTCGAGCGCCTCGGCTTTGGAGCGCCTGGCGGCTCGGCGGACTTTCCCGCTGCACGCTCGCACCGGGGTGTGCAGGAACCTCTTTGGCCCCGTGGATCACGACGAGCTGAACCGGGACCTGAAGAGCAAGCTGCGGGAGATCTGCGAGGACGGCCAGAAGCGCTGGGACTACAACTTCCAGAGCGACACGCCGCTGGGCGGCCCGGGCAGGCTGCAGTGGGAAGAGGTGGACGGAGGCGCCGTGCCCGCTTTCTACCGGGAGACGCTGCAGGTCGGCAAGTGCCGCTTCCCGGTGCTGGTGATCCGCTCCAAGGCGCCTCCGCCTCCAGCGGGAAGCGCCGAGGCGCCTCCGGAGGCCGATCCCCAGGGGACGGGGGTGTCCTCGGCCCCCTCCCCGCTCAGCTCTCCGGGCAAGACGGCCCCCTTGGAAAGCACTAGGTCGGCGGGCGAGGAGCGCCTCAACCAGGAGAACCGGGCCGCTCAGCTCCACAGCTACTCAGGGATTATAATCAAGCCTGTCCCGTGCGCCGCGGCGGCGCTGAAAAGGGCGTCGTCGGCCAGTGTAGCGCACATCACAGGTAAGCAGCGCCGCCGTCGGATTGGGTTGCACTTGTGCCTGTTTTTTGGGGGGGTTGCTTCCACTTTGCCCCTCCCAGCCCGAGTTATGGGGGCGCCCCACCCCTTCCTCATCTGCGCGGCGTCTTAAAACGTTGCCCGGAGGCGCTGCCTCTGCTTAAAATTCCGCGCAGGTACCCGGGGGTTGGTGGAGCGGGGAAGGAAAATGCTTACGCAGCACATCGCGGCGGCGGCGGCGGCGGCTGCCTCCCCTTTGCGACGTAAACAAACCCCAGCAGCTGCGGCGCCCGCCGCTTGCCGACAGGGGGAGCCCAGAGCCAGGCGCTCCGTGGCGGCGCCCGGGCGAGCCAAGCAGGGCGGGTCCCTGGTGTGCAACGCGATTGTTTTTCTCCCGTTCCTGACCGAGGGTGGGGTGTGTCCCTTTCCAGCTCGAAGCTCTTGGCTCGAGTGACCCCCCAAAAAATAACACACACGCACAGAATCCCTGCTAATCCCTCCCCTCCCTCTTTCTCCTGGGTCTGATCCGCAGATTTCTTCGCCAAGCGGAAAAGAGTCGTAGACTCGAAAGTATCCGGGGATCATCCCAGCGCCTTGCCAGCTTCGGTCTCTGCTGTCCCCGCCGAGCAGACCCCCCGGAAAAGGCTCCGATGAACGAGGTGAGCGAGCGATGGGTGCACGTCAAGATCGGCTATTTTTTAATACTTAGAAACGGGCGCAAGTTTTTTTTGGGAGGGAGGGGGGTTTCGATCGGCCTTGGGAAGCAGCTCGCCCCTCCTGCTCCGCCCTGCCTCTCGGAGAGGGGCGACCTCTCGTGCGTGACTGGTTGTTTGCAGAACAGTTGGGGCCGCTGCCAAAACTTGGCGGGGATTGCAAGGGAATGGGAAGGTAGCGGAGGCTTGCAAAAGGAGCCTCTCCTGACTGGTCAGTTGGGTGTGTTCCCCATTCTTCTCCTCCGGGCCCCCGACCTGGAGTAACTTCCTGATGGTCAGATATTGCATGGGGCTTGCTTGCTTTTTCTTTCTTTTTTTTAAGCCATTCCGCCCCCTCCTCCACCGCTTTTGCTGACTCATCAGTTGCTCCTCGGGGGAGGGGAGAGCGAGGAGGAGGGGGCGGGCGGGGGAGACTCTTTGTATCGGCCAACAACTCCGTCCAGTTGCGACGTCGCCCGGGAGTCCTCTGTGCAAGTTTGTGCTATGTATGCGTTTGCTCTTCTCTTACAGATTTTGCACTACAACACCGAAGTGATTGTTTCCTTGGAAACACAAGAGCTTGAGAGGCCCTTCCTCCTCCACACGTTAAAAGGGACTGGCAAGAGAGACCCAGAGTAGGGAGGAAGAATCCCCTGGTTGTGTGTGTGTGTTTTTTTCTTCTTCCCCGTTTTGTTTTTTTCGTTCCTCCTCTTCTACTCGTGCCCCAGAAGGAACTGCTTGTACCTCCATGTAGCAAAAGTGGCCCGACTACAAGCCACCTGACGGAGCAGTGTTAATTTACAACTGTGCAATGTATTACGTTTTATATATATTAAAAATGTATTATGCCTAATGTGAGTACACTGGCCAGAAGTGTAAAAGCTTTAAAGTCATTTATATAAATGTTTAATCTCTGCTGATCTCTCAGTGCAAAACAAACAAAAAAAATGTATATTTGTAAAAAAACAAAAACAAAAAAACAACTTAAGAGTTATACTAACTTATATTTTCTATTTATGTCAAGAAAAAAAAAGCGGATAACTTTGGTTGACACCCAGTAGTCTGTTTTGTGTGTTTGGTTTTTGTTTTTCTTATTTGGTTAAGCCAAAGGGCACTATATATTTGCTTTTTTGTTATTTACAAAAATGTAAATTTATTTTTATAGTGGGTTTTTTTTGCATTCACAAAATGTAGCTATGAATCAAAATTAGTTATTACTTGAAAATAAATCTGATACAATGGTTCCTGAGCCGGTCTGTACCACTGCCACTGCAAATTTATGCCACAATGTTAAAATAAAAAGGAATCAAATGTCAATAAGCTGCCTTGGTGTTTATAGCTTTTATTCTTATCACTCTGTGATTGGAACCCCCACCCCAGTGCACACAATTTTATTTTCTTTGGCTTCTTAAAATTCAGTGTAACATCACTGTTAATATTATGCAATAACGGTCATTGGTTCCTTATGTAAGAGCAGGACTGTCAGCCTCTGTGTACTTTGAGAGCAAACCTGATGGATAGACTGACATTAGATTAAAGTTATGTTCACCTCACACCTGATTAAACAACTTGCATAAGAAAGTTTGGCTGCAGACGTTGTACTGCACAAAAACCACACTCAAGGCAATCTTAGCCCTATTCCATTGCCTCTCTCCCACACCCAGTAGATACCTGCATTGAAGAGAAAAGCTGGGTATCTCTTTGGCCCTACCACACTGTCTCATCCCCATGTTTCAGATGCACTACCTGTCTACACCTTGGGATGGGAGATTTGAAGCAGGGAGCCTACTAATCTATTTTTTTTAATTATTTTTTCACCACCACCATCTAACATCAGAAGGTACCATTATTAGCATTATTAACTAGTGCAAGGAAAAACATAAACCATAAAACACAAGCATCCTTAAGTCACATTCAAATAAAAGTCACATTCAAATTCTCTGCCGTGAACGTTCCAATACCACCAGTCTGGTATGGTTCACACTGGAGAGACAATCTACTCACCTGTTCATGCAAAACACAAATTTGCTGTATCACATGGACTACCAAAAAAAGTAGTCCAGCACTGAATGTGAACTACTAGCTGTGCCTTTCAAATTGTGATTTGCATAAAACTGGCAAGTGATATTTTCAAGGTACAGAGATACATACATATATACATACATACATACATGCATAATTTGTATGTTGCCTTTCCATAGTTAAATATTGGGGCAGCTTATAACATGAGAAAAATACATAATTACAAATACAACAAAAGTCACAAACAATAAAACTTCAGAAAGTACACAACCAAACTGAACAATTTCCCCATATATGAGAAGATCACATGAGAAAAATAACCGTTAAGATCTATATAATAAATTTCAAAAAATGCAAAAATAAATGCAAAAATGCAAAAATAAAATTGTTAACAAGATCTAAAATAAAAATACAAAAAAGTAATTCTCAATAACCCCCCCCAACAACAAAAACCCTGAACAGTACCCCAACACTGTAGATACTGCATGTAGGTTGGCTACGACATCCCTGATTATTGGCAATGATGGCTGTGAGCTGGGGATCGAAGCAGCATCTAGAGGGGCATAGTTTTCCTAGCCATGCTTTGGAAAGAAGGATAATTTTATTTCAGTAGCACTGGCTTATACCTTATAATATTTAAGACTAGAGGTGCAAAGCTTCATGAAGCTAAACTGCTCAGCTGCAAAGGCACAGGATGACTGCAATTAATTGATTCCATAGATGCCTCCTGAGGAACAGTGGGAAAGGGAGCAGCAAGTTAGAATACACTGTGAAATGCATGGTGGTGGGTTGAAAGCCTGTTGGCTCTTACTTTATACACTTGTAAAGGTGAACTCTAGGTGTGTGTGTATTGGAGGCACACTGTTTTTGTCAATATAAAAGCCATGAGGAAGGAATTTTGTATTGCCTTCTGAAAATATCATTGGCTAATGTCTTTAATCTCACTGTAAACTGCCCTGTGATCTTCAAATGAAGGGTGGTATAGAAATTTTATAACAATAACATTTGTTTTTAGGTGGGAGTTGAAAAACCAGTGTTAGTGTTGCATAAGATCTGACATCCATCTTTTGAATATATTTACATTAAAAGAAGCCCCATTCATTTCTGTGGAAGCAAATGTGGTTCTGATTGTAGCCCATATGGGGAAAAAAAGTTTTAAGTATGGCTCAATGGGACCTTCTGTCATAATTCTGTACTCCAGCTCATGTCCAGCGATTGTGCACCACGTTGTTAAGATGTACCCATAAAACACAGTGCCCAATACAGCCTAGAAGCAATTGCGCTGATGTAACGAACACCTGCTTTCAGCAATGTGAATTGTAAGAGGTCCATGAGCCTGTGAGATATGATTGGCTCCATCTCCTCTCTTGAGCTTAAAATGGCAAACGGGCATCCGTTAGTATGCTACAAAAAGTATCACTCTGTATGATGTCATTCCAAGTTTAGGACTCCATTGTTAAGAGAAGTGTTTCGATTCAATGAACTTGGTAAATATTTTGCCAATGATCACAATAAAATGCAGGTTGCATTTCAGAGAGGTACTCCACATATTGCAATCTGGCCACCATCAATAAGACATAAAGAGATGTAATGGAAGGACCTCAACAACCAGTACCCTGTTTCAGTCTCTTTCTCTGCAGCCTCCAGTTCCCCTGACGTGTGCCATGCCTTGGCACACCCCTCATACACTACTGCAAAGATTTGAACTAGCCAATTAAATCTCCTAGTGACCCGTTATTTATGGATCATTGGCACGATAAACCACAGTGGCTCTTCTGCCATGTCAATGCATTCCGGGAGCCCTTAATCCTTAACTCAATAGCTGAGAGCCATTCTGATCTTGTCCACAATAGCATATATCTTTACAAAATATTGCATCTGTTGTGCATGCTTCCAAAGGCCTTCCCAGCACAACCATAAATTTCCCAGAATGTCAAAATCTTGGCCTTTAATTAAATGTGCCTTATCACTCACTCACTCACTCACTCACACATACAATATAGCCAGATAGATTAAGGCTGTGAGCCTAAGGGACTTCAAAATAAGTGCCAAGCAAACCGATGGGACTTATTTTCAGGTAACACATATAAGTAAAAATTTATAGCATTCTTATTTACATGAACCATTGATTTCAATGGAACTTTACCTTTACATAAAATTGCAATCAAAAGCTTTCCTCAAAGCTTACTGAAGTCCAATTGCAACCCAAACTCAGAAGTAAACAGATATTATTTACTGAATTTGTTAGATGTTTTATCTTGCCCAGGGCAACCCAAAGAAACTTATAACCAAACAGATGGACAAATAAGGGGGGGCCCCACATAGATATATTAAAACCAAGAGGAAAAAGAAATACGTTAAAAACATCCCACCCACTTCTAAAAGGCCACAGTTACTTAAAGATCAGTGTTGCCTAGAGGCCAGGCAAGCTTCCTTAGAGAGAACATTCAACAAATGGGGAGCCAGCAAAGAAAAAGCCCATTCTTATATTGCCACCCTCCTCCTCCTCCTTCTTTGGCAATCACTCGTAGCCGAGTAAGATTGTCTCCATAAACACCGTTTTAACAATGAGTCCATAAGTGACTGTGGAGGCCAATTCTGAATCCACACGTCCTTCCACAGTGGGGACATTGGTTTCCAGGCGGGAGTTGATCACGGTGTCGATTTGCCAAGCGTGCCTTCTTCTTAGCACGTTTCTCCCTTGCATCCTGAGTTCGAGTGTCTTCAAAGCCCATGACACAATTGGTAAAGGCTGTTCTCCAACTGGAGCGCTCGCAGGCCAGTGTTTCCCAGTTGTCGGTGTTTATACTACTTTTTTAAAAGATTTGCCTTGAAACAGTCTTTAAACCTCTTTTGTTGACCACCAGCATTATGCTTTCCATTTTTAAGTTCAGAATAGAGTACAGTGGTGCCTTGCAAGACGAAATTAATTCGTTCCGCGAGTTTTTTCGTCTAGCGAATTTTTCGTCTTGCGAAGCACGAAATCCCATAGGAATGCATTGAAATTCAATTAATGCGTTCCTATGGTCAAAAAAAGTCCAAACAAAGCCAGATTTGGTACAACAAGAGTTTATTAAGTGCTCTTTAAAGTCACACATACTGTAAAGAGCATTTCAAAAATTGAAGGAACAATAAATTAAGTTTCTAAACATGACAGAAAAACATTTTAAAATCATCAAAGTGTACAGTACATTTTCTAAGACTCTGGGGGACAACTCGAAGAAGGTTCCTCTTCCACTCTTTGCTTCTTGCTGAAGAACCTGTCCATGGTCTGCTGCTTCATCCGCCTTTTCAGCACCTCCCTGAAAGACGACATGACCCTCGTATCAAAAGTGTTCGCAAGGTCACGTGTCAGGTCCTTGTCAGGGTGGTGCCGCTGTGCAAAAGCCTGCACATCTTTCCACTTCTGGCAAATGTCCCTCAGTTCTTTGGAGGACACAACCTCCAGGAACTCCGCTGCAAAGTCTTCAGCCGCAGGAACATCAGAACTGGCAGCCTCTCCATGCCTGACCACCCTGTGGATTCCAGATCTTGTCTTGAACCAGTCAAACCAGCCTCTGCTTGCCTTGAAGACTTCTGGCTCGCCTGAGGTTCCTGGCTGTTCCCGGATGAGGTCTGCGTGCAAGGCCTTGGCCTTCTCACAAATCACGCCCTCAGTCACTGTGTCCCCTGCACGCTGCTTCTCTTCTAACCAGATGAGCAGCAACTTCTCGACCTCCTCCAGAACAGCTGGGCGGTTCTTCACGATCCTGGTGACTCCCTTGGCTGCATCAGTCGCAAGGATCTTCTCCCTCATCTTCAGGATGGTGCCGATGGTCGATGGGTTCCTGCCGTACTCCCTGGCGAGGTCTGTCACACGCATTCCACCGTCGTGCTTCCGGATGATCTCCTTCTTCATTTCCAGCGTCACCTTCTCCTTCTTCCTCTCGCCGGCCTCTGCAGCAGCAGTCTTCTTGGGTCCCATGGCAGCACAGCTCCTAGCTTCGTAAACTCAGAAAAAATAATAATAATAATCAGTGCTTCACACCCAAAAAATTCAAAAGCACCCAGCCACCTACCACACAGGAATTCAAACCCAGAACCAAGTCCTTGAATTCCAAACACCCAACCCAAAATCCAAAAACCCCCAAAAAAGTTTTAAAAGTTTAACTTACGAAGTGGCTGCAAATCACCAAAGTCTTCAAAATCCTCAAATGGCTGCAAAAGAAGTTTTGGAAAAGCTTTAAAAATCACCAAAGTCTTCAAAAACCTCAACTGTTCCCCCACCCACCCACCACACAGAAATTGCAAACCCCTCCCCAACTGTTGCAAACCCCTCCCCAACTGTTGCAAACCCCTCCCCAACTGCTCCCCCAGCCACCCACCACACAGAAATTCAAACTCAGAATTTTTTTTGGAAAAAAAACAACATGGCCCAATGGTCACAGAAAATCATAAAAATTAAAAAAAAACCACACAAGCTCCCAGATTCTTGCAAACCCCTCCTCAACTGTTCCCCCAGCCACCCACCACACAGAAATTCAAACCCAGAATTTTTTTTTAAAAAAACAGCAGAGTGCCCCAATGGTCACAGAAAATCATAAAAATTCAAAAAAACCCACACAAGCTCCCAGATTCTTGCAAACCAAGTCCTTGAATTCCAAACACCCCAACCCAAAATCCAAACCCCTCCAAAAAAGTTTTAAAAGTTTAACTTACCAAATGGCTGCAAAAGAAGTTTTGGAAAAGCTTCAAAAATCAGCAAAGTCCTCAAAAACCTCAGAAAAGGCTACCACACCACGTGCAATGTGTTGCTCCTCGAAGTCAAGTCGCAACTGCACCTCTTCAAGCAATGCACCCTGGGTATTAACGGTTTTACGAAAAAGGAAACAAACTTGCAAGACGTTTTCGTCTTGCGAACAAGCCCATAGGGAAATTTGTCTTGCGAAGCAGCTCAAAAAATGGAAAACCCTTTCGTCTAGTGAGTTTTCTGTCTTGCGAGGCATTCGTCTTGCGGGGCACCACTGTAGTTGCTTTGGAAGACGATCATCAGGCATCCATACAACGTGACCAGTCCAACGAAGTTGATGTTGAAGAATCATTGCTTCAACACTGGTGATCTTTGCTTCTTCCAGTACACTGATATTAGTTCATCTGTCTTCCCAAGTGATGTGTAAAATTTTTCGGAGACACCATTGATGGAATCTTTCAAGGAGCTGGAGATGGCGTTTATAAGTGGTCCATGTTTCACAAGCATACAGTGAAGTTGTTAGTACAATAGCTTTGTAAAGAAGCATTTTGGTTTCCCTGCGAATGTCCCAGTCCTCAAACACTCTGCACTTCAATCGGGAGAAAGCCGCACTCGCAGAGCTCAGGCAATGCTGGATTTCGGCATCAATGTTGGCCCTTGTGGAAAGATAACAGACCTCTCATGAAGGGGGCCTCAGATGGTGATCGCAGGGTCTGGGTTGGTTCATTTGGGGAGAGGCGTTCCTTGAGGTATTGCAATCCTGAGCCATTTAAGGCTTTATAAGTCAAAAGCAGCGCTTTAATTTACTTTCCATAGTGTTTAGGATCAGAGCTTACTTGGGAACGAGCCTTTTATAAGCAGTAGATGGTCCCTAAATTCAGTTACTCATAAAGACAATAGGATGAAACTAGTGAGATTTGCTCAAGTATAGGTCCATGTTTGGAAGCTTCAAAATAAGCCACCATGCTAGCCTGCAGCAGCAAAACAAATCTGGTACTTTAAAGATGAACAGATTCCTTAAGCTTTGGTGAACTAGAGTTCACTTCTGATGGGGGGATGGGAAAGACAATTTTCCATACAAAACAAAATCATGTCATGTTCAGTACCCAGATTATATCAACCTGTTAATACCGATCACTGTTCAATGGTGCAGGTTGTAGTAGCAGCGAGCTGGACTAGATGATCCTCAGGGTCCCTTTGAACTCCATGATTCTATTATGCTAAGCCTCTGTCAGCAGTAGTGCCTGACCCTAAATAGAGATTTCTCAGGCGGTGAAAACCCCATTTACTTACTGCGGAGTATGCAGAAGCTTGCAATCCTGTGCACGGTTATCACAGAGTAAGTGTGAGTAAATATGCCTAGTACTGTACTGGGTTGTAGGAGTGCAACTTTACTCACTCGGGAGGTTAACCCATTAAAAAGAATCCATCTCGATGGTCCTGTGGCGGCTCCTCCCGCCTTAGATGGCCACGTGTGTTATTTCACTTGTTTCAAAATGTGGTAAGCAGCCAGCCCTACTGACTTCCCGCCCAGCCCTACTGCACCACTGAGCCAAATTCCTGGCCTGACGGAACCGTCGATCCAACCCCAATTCGTGGGGCTTCCGAGTAAACAGATCTGGAATTTAGGATCGCGCCGTAAATGGGAAGATCTGGATTCTAGTAGCTTGAGCAAAGGAGATTGATTTTGCAATTCTAAGGGAGGGCTGTTAATCCGTCTCCCCAAATTACCCGTCGAACAATAGGTAATTAGGAGCAGTAAAGTGAAACTGGTCTGGAGTCTTTTTTGTGTGTGTGTACGAATATCTTCTGGGCTTTACGGTAACTTCTGCGTCTCGTTTACACGCCCCCACCCCGCCTTTACGCAGCGCTCTAATATTCATAAGTGGCACAGGAGTGACCCTGGTTCCTCCGCCCCTTCGGAGCCCGGCGCTCTCTCGGCCGCCTTCGTCCCGCCCTTCCTCCTGCTCCGCAGCTCCGAGCTCGGCGGAGTTTCTTTGATCCCGGGGCGCGCTTCCCGCTTAAAGAGGGCGCTTCCTTGCGAGTCAGTGGCACCCAAATGCAGGGAACCTCCTTGCAAGTAACAGGTCGCTCAGAGAAAGGGGCTATTCGGAGCGGGACCTGCTCCCGCCAACCCCCCCGCTCCGCCAAGTTGCTTTTAACTTGTGGAGTCGCGTGAAAACAGTCGTCGTAAAGCGGCCTTAGGCGGCTGCAAGGGCTCCAGGGAACCAAAGTCTGGAAAGGCGCTGTCGGGGCGTGTGTGTGTTTTGAAACTCTGGGAGCCGCCATTCCGGATCCTTTGTACGCAACGTGGAAGAAGCAGTTCTTCCAGGGACCACTCGCTTCCTTTCAATGAATGCTTGCTAGGACCTGAGTGTAGCGGGAAATGAAGCGGTGGGGGGGGGGGGACGGGCACGGCGTCGAGGGTGCAGGAGGAGATTCCGTGTGCAGTTCAGAAGCCAGGCTCGATTTCTCCGCAGTCTGCAGGAGGAGTGAGACTCCCGCTTGTGGGATCCCGGCTTTGATGTTGCCCCGCTAAGTTGGGCTTGGTCGGACCCAGCTGATAGAAAAGCCCTGCCTTGAGAGTGTGTGTGTGAACTTCTTCCCCTCGGGCTCTCCCTTCCCTTCCCCTTCCCCTTCCCCACCTTCAGCTACAAAGCGATCGCCGACGGTATCTTCTTCCAACCGACAGGGTCGGTCTGTGGGGTTGTTTGGATATCAGCTCCTTAGAGGAGGTTCCTTGAGAGGTACTCCTCTTAGCAGTAGTATTAGTTATTGTGAGAGGCCTTTCGACTCCTGCATGAATCAAGCGGCCTTGGATATCTTCTCTCCCCTTCACCCGGTGCCCCGCTCCTTTCTTTTTATATTAAAAAGAGTAAGAGAAGTCCGATACGACAGGGAAGCTTTTTAAGAATCCAGGCGGTTGTACTGATTTAAAACAAAATCGTCTCTCCCTCGAAGTTCTTCCCCGGGATTAAGCTCAGGCACCGCCCCCTCGGCATAAAAGTAACCTTGATTTACGTCCAAACTGTATGATCACTTAATCAAGAGAACTGGATGTTTTTCATAGGCCCCTCTGCCTATGGCGCTGGTTGGAGGCGATTGTCCCTTTTGAAAGGTGAAAGTTGGGTGGGTGGGGGGAAAGTAGCCTCCCCCCTCCTTATTAAACGCCAACAATACATGGAGGGAGGCAGCTGGATCCTCCAGGATTTATGGGCTTTTCTCTTGCTTTCATGCAAGCAGGTGTCTCTGGGGCTGCCATTGTCTCAGCCCACCCCACCCCCATGGCTAAGAATAGGAGCTTCTGAAATGAAAGATCCGCAGGCCTCAGCCTTCAAATGGCCCGGCCTCGGCTGCTGCAGCCCTCCGCTAAGGTGCAAGAAGCCACCCTCAGGCAGTTATTAAATTGATTTAGGAGTTTAGCTGCTTTTCAAAGCATCCTATTTTATCTGTACACAAAGAGCTTGGCGAGCGGCACAGCAGCTAACCTTGAATTTTGGATGCTCCCGCAAGGGTTTTAAGATCTAGAGATTAACTCCCATTGAAGAGCAGCACTTCAGCTATCTTGGGGAGTGGGGGTGTTTGTTTGCCTGTTTTGCTTTTTATTTTGGCTTTTCCAGTATCTTTGCTGTTACACGCTATCTCAAAATCGGCCACAGTCCAGAGCTCAGGGAAATGAGTGAGCTTAAGCACACCTGACCCTTGGGAGGGGGCGGTGGTCTGCCCTTAGTTTATCATCCTTGTACACCAGTATGAATTTCTGCTACCCTCTCAGGATGCTTCCAGATGGGAGCTTATTGTGGGATCAGAACACCTCATCCATGTGGGCACCTATGGGCAGATCCACGCCATACATTCAAAGCACACCCAGCGCACATTTAAAGCACACAATTTACCCCAAAGAATCGTGGGAACTGTTGTTGCCCCCTCACAGAGCTCCAGGTCTCAGCACACTTACCAAACTGCCGTTCCCAGGATTCCTTGGGGGAAGTAATGTGTCCGAAATATGCATTGAATGTGCTTTAAATGTATGGTTCAGATCTGCCCTATGTCGTGGGCATCAAAATGCAAGTCTGTATTCAGCTACCCTTTGTTCTGGGTTTAAGTTTTTAAAAGAACAAACAAAACTGTTGCCAACTAACCATTTGCAATATCTCAATGACTTGCTTGCAATATAAAGGCCCAGTCTGGAAGTACCCTCAGTCCACTTCCATTTGATGCCTATGAAAGCTCCAAGCTGCAGCAAGCCAGTGGCTGAAATCTTGGGATGTTGAGAGGTGGACATTACGTTTAGCATTAGACTAGTTCCAATCTGGGCTAGGATGCTGCAGGACATTCCCAAATTGGTTTTTGCTGCTGCTGCTGCTTTATAGAAATGTATGCTCCATCACGAGTGGAGAAGCCTTTGTAGAAGTTAGAAACCAGGGAAATTGTAGACAGGACACCATTTATTCAGTAATCATCCTGAATGGTTTGTAGGGAGTTAGATCAAAGCAAGTCTTTACCCACACTATTCAGCACATTTTCCAGTCATTTTCCTTATCACAAAAGTCTGTTCTTTTTGGGAAGCAGGTGACCTTCCAATCAAGTTATGATTCTGCATTCTGAATTTGCCAGAGTGTAGCTGAATCCCACCCGAAAATAGTGACAGCCTGGAAGCACCAAAATGTCAAAAGAAGGGGAAAAAATAATACTGTTTTGAGTTTCCAAAATGTCATGGAAACAGGGAATTGTGTTGTTCTGTTATAATGATATCTAGGTGAATTGACAGAATTAGAAGAGAGGGCAAAAGCTGAGGTGGTGTACAAATGTCTACTGAAAATTATCACAGGCTGATAAATAATTTAGAAATTTGTTGATTTGGTTTCTCTCTTAGGAAAAAGTTACAAGTTGACAATGTGTTAGTATGCTTGTCAGTCATACATATTACAATTTGAATTGTTTTTAATAAGGCAGAAGCCTATGTAACAGCAGGAATGGGGGATTGGTGGCCCTCATCCCTGACTATTGGCTATGCTAGCTGGGGCTAATGGGAGCTGGAGTCCAACATAAGAAGAGCCCTGCTGGATCGGACCAAAGACCCATTTAGGCCAGCATCCTGTTCTCACATTGGCCAACCAGATGCCCATGGGAATCCTGCAGGCAGGCCCTGAGTCCAGCAGTCCTCTCCTCACTTGTGATTCTCAGCAACTGATATTCACTGTCTCTAACAGTGGAGGCAGAACATAGCCACTGACAGGCCTCACCTCCATGGGTTTGTGTAAACCTCTTTTAAAAGCTACCCAAGTTGGTGATAATCATTACATCTTGTGACAGTGGATTCCATAGTTTGTCTATGTGCTGTGCGAAGAAGTACTATTCTTTTGCCTGCTGAATCTTCCAAGATTCAGCTTCACTTGATGCATTATGAAAGATAATTGGCTCATTGGATGTCCACTTTCTCAACATCACACACAATTCTGTACACCTCTATCATGTCTCTCTGTGCGCTTCCTTCTGAACTAAAATGTCCCCAATATTGTGATCTTTCCTCATAGGGGACTTCAGCCAACACCTTGATCATTGTAGTTGCCCTTTCTGAACTGTCTTCCGCTCTACAATGACCTTTTTGAGGTGAGGCAACCAGAACTGAACACAGTATTCCAAGTGTCCCTGGTATTTTTGTATATTTGTATAAATGTCATTATGATACTGGCATTTTTATTATCAATCCCTTTCCTATCCCTAACATGGAATTCACCTTTTTCACAGTTGCCGCACACTGGGTCGACACCTTCATCAGCTATCCATTATGGCCCAAAGGTCTCATTCCTGGCGATATCAGACCTTGTTAACTTATATGTGAAATTAGGGTGTAATGGCTTAGGTTTTTTTAATGCCTCAATATGATGCTTACGTTGCTTTGCCTTTCTACTGCCCATTCACCCAGTTTGGAGAGAACCTTTTGGAGCTCCTTACAATCACTTTTTGTTTAGATTCTCCTGAACAATTTGGTATCATCAGCAAACTTGGCTACATTATTGCTCACAAGTCCCAATATTGATCCTCAGGGAACTCCCTCCAGGTAATTCCTTTTTCCTAGCATGGAATTTGCTTTTCCCCCACAGCTCCTTCATACTGAGAGGGCTTTTTCTATTAGCTGTCTACCATGGCCCCACAATCTCTTATCTGGTGTGAAGATTTTCTGCTGTAGTGTGCATCACTTTAGGATGAAGCTCTCAGTTCTTCCTTATGAAAGTCTTCACCGTCTACCTGGATTTTCACTACTCTGAATAATTTGGTGTTATCCTAAAACTTGGGCCTTTCACTGGCTCCCTCCTAACTCCAGTTGATTTATGAGAAAGTTAAACAGCACTGGTTCCAGTACAGATCCTTGGGAGAACCCATTTCGGCATGCCATCTTTCTCTGTTGTGAGCTGTCCATCTATTCCCACTCTCTACTTCTTTTTGTTTAACCAGTTTCTAATCTGTAAGAGGATCTGTCCTCTCATCCCATGGCTGCAAAGTTTAGTCACAAGCCTTTGATGAGAGACTGTCAAATGTATTTTAGATGGCCAAATTTTTTTATTATAAATTATTTGACAGTCTTATATTTCAGAGGGCATGTGGATGAATTATCTAATAGGTGCACTATGGCACATCCACACAAAATTATCTCAAGTGAAGTGCCAGCTGGAGAGCACAGTGCATTTTTCCATGGGTGAAACATTGTGGTTTGAGTGCTAGATGAGCATAATTTCCCTGCTACTGAAAGAGGAGGTTTGCTTTGGCCACAACAAGTGAGTAAGGGCTGTGAATTTATTGCACTCAAAATTATCCTTGAGGAAACTAAAACGCTACCACGTATTTTCCTGCTACA